GATGAATATAATTTAACGCCAAAGAACGTAAAGTAGACGCTGTAAGGTCACGAAGATCTTCCGATAGGTTTGGCTCAAGTTTCCAATAAGCTTTCTCAAAGCTAGCTTTGACATCAATCGGGGATACACGTTTAGGAATGGCAAACTTCAAGCCACGACAAAGCACAAGCTTTTGAAAAAAGGAGAGCTTGTAAGAAGAGATGTTAGTAATGTGTTCATCGACGTCTTTCTCTTTAGATAACAAGCGTGAGATTTTCCTGGTGTGGGTGTCCAAAACTTCTTGATGGTACTTCTTGCGAAGTTCTGTTATCGTCGTTAGAATAAAAACATAACGAAGGAAGCCGCAAGTTTGTTGTATCTAATCGCAGATTGGATCAATCTCCACACTGAGAGATTCGTTGAGGCGTTTCTTCTGGCGAAGCTCTTCAGCCAGCACATTCTTAGCAAAGCTTTCAGAAGAATGTTTCCATTTATGATGTTTGTCTTGGTCAACTCTTGCGAAAGTTGGTGTAACATCAAATTCTTGGCAAAGATGAAGGAATTCGATGGAACCATGGCAGTTAATCTGCTTTTTGCTGCACTGTTCTAGTCTTTGGAACAAGTGGAGCTGATTATCCCGTTTTAAAATCCTTATCAGTAAGGGTTTTTTAAAACATTTGACAATAAAAATAAACAGTAAAAGTTTGCAACGTTTCGACCGCTCTTTGGTCATTATCAAGCAAGATGTAAGAAGTAAAATTTGCATAGATATATATAGCTACAAAGAGGTAAGAATGTGTGAAAATTATTAATGAAGTAAAAATATGTAAAAAGTATGTAGAAAAATTTACAAAGTAGTGCTTAAAACAATAAAAAAACATGTAAAACTAATTAATAAAGAAAAAAAAAAGATTGTTTAAAAACTTTTGCACGAATAGAGTCAGATTGTACACTGAGACTTGGTCTCAGTTCGTGAATAAAAAACATTTCAAAAATAAGACAGTCAAACTTGGTTGTACATTTCTTTAAAATCGAAAAGTTATTAGTAAGATCTTATTAGTAAGATCTTCAGACAATGCTCATTCAATTCACTTCAAGACTGGCAAAAGGACAACTGCACTACCAATCCGTAAATTTTATGTAGACCCTTCAGCTATCATGCATGCGACTTGCTTGTCTATCTAAATTTGTACGTATGGACAATATGTTCTTATTATGAGTTTGCCAGTGAGCACAAATTTATCCGACACTGTTTAAACCAAAATCAACCCCCAAATCTTCTTTTAAAAGCTGAAATTAAAAGTACTCCACTGATCCTACAAATAGCAAAGAAAAGCTGCAAAGGAAAAGTTACTCTCTCTGAAATCGACACCTTATTATCTTTAAAAATATTTGGCAACACTAATTACCTCACTGGAAATTAATTTGTTGTTTTAACTGTATACTTGTCATATCGATTAAAAGCACTCTGCTGATCCTACAAACAGCAAAGGAAAGCCACAAAACCTTCACCTATCGCCTGTGCAACTTACTTGTCTATCTAAACTTGTATGTACGGAGGATATGTTCTTATTATGAGTTTGCCTGTGAATACAAATTTATCCGATATTGTATAAACCAAAATCCACCCCTAAATCTTCATTTAAAAGTTAGAATTAAAAGCACTCTGCTGAACCTAAACCAAAGATGTTGAACTGTCTCATTTACTAACTCCAAGAGAGCATTTTGCTTCCACAGAGGGATAAATCGTTCGTGACATAATCGTGATGGACATAAGCGTGACAAAATAAGGAGAAATCGCTATCCAAAGGAATGCAGCACGCTGGCTTAAAGTGATGATGTCACACAATATGTCATCGCTTAAAAAAAGGAAAATCGATCAATGGTTAAACTGACAACCATTTTTCAAGTTGTCAATAATGACACTGGCAGCCCCACTCATGTTAAAGTCTTTTTAGAAAGTCGTAAATCGTTGGTTTATCATTGAAGCCCATATTAAAAAAGTTATTCACTTCCTACATAGGCTTGATTTCCACGACTCTCTTGAGTTGGGTGTACTAAAATACTGGTACAGATTGTCACAAAAATAGCCATTCAACTTGTAAACAAAGCCTCGCAACTTAAAAACTGTAGCTAAATTTGCAAGCAATTAAAACAGCCAAGTGGGATTATTGATCACAACAGGGTATATTTTTTGGTTTTACAGAAGCTCCATTTTACATTGCCACCAAAACACTTCTCTTGCTTAATTTAAATAAGTGCACAACCATTCCTTTCAATATAAATTTTTATGATACTCAGTCACTGGTGCATGTAAGGCGTCATATAGAGAATGAGTGTTTCAAGGCATGAGATTTCTAAATTTCGGTGATTAAAGCTTCATGTGTTAGGATGATCTTTTGCAGTTTTGCATCTCTTGCTGGGGGAACTTGCGGTCAGAGACCTGAAAATCCAAACACAGTTCACATGGCTGATTTTAAAAAAACTGTGATCGTGATGTGAGAGAACTCCTAAAATATTTGTATTATTCTGACAAATGGTCAATGTGACGATAGTGAAAGAAAATTGTTACTGTAGTCTGTGCAGGTGCTTAGAAGCAACAGTGGTTTCTTGTATCATGAAACTGATGCAAGCTCACCAATCTGATACCTAGGAAATTTCATCCCAAACACAGGGATCTGTATGGTTTTCACTGGTGAACTGGCAAGACAAGGTGCTGTTAGAAAAGAAGTTGCAGGCCATGAGGCCTATTCTAAACGTTGTGCTACTACTGTGCCAAACTAAAAGAGAATTAAGAATTAAATGTGAATTTAAGCATGACAGTAGCACAACGTTTGAAACCACTCAGTTTTGCAAAGATCTACTTTTTCCGCATGGTCCTAATCTAGTACAAAAACCTTTGTATTTGGTAGACACCATCCTTAACACAGGGTTAAGTTGTATAAGCAGGCAGCAATTTTCAAAAACAAAGTGATGCAGGCAAAGAGAAACACAATATTCTTGCAATGAAGTACTTCTAGTACTTCTTGACCATTCTTAAAAACATGCAGAAATACTTTTTCAATTTAACAATCCACAAGGAGAAGGATTACTATTTTCCTCTACAAAATGTTCACAAAATTTTATATTCTCAAGCTCGTGATTACAGGCCCCATGCATTTATAATCAAACTAGAGCAAACTCCAACCGACCATTTTAGTGGGTACAAGACCTTGAACATTACTTTTTTTTTTAAAGAAATGGTCAACATCATACTGTATTTTGAATTAGCAATCCACTTAATCCCTACACTCAGATATAGGAGGTCTAACTGTAATTGTATCATAACATTGCCACAAAGTCACTTGTTCTTCTAGAAGTTCACTGTAGTTTTCAAACTTTTTGTACAGTATTTGGTGTATAACAGTTCTGTTTTTTTTTTCACAGGATGCTCAAAGAATGCAAGAACACATGAAAAAAAAGAAATTTGAAATAGTGAAGTATATGGAAGAAAAGGGAATCACCATTCAGGAATATAAGGTATTTTTACCAAAACGTAAGAAATTAGACGTAGAGTTATTGCTTTCAGTCACAGGTTTGAAATCCAGCTCTGCTTATTGATTGGTTGTTAAGAGTGCCTGCCTGTAAAAATCAGACAAATTCTTAATTTCACAGCAAGGGTTGAAAATTTGATTTTGCTCATATTCTTATGGTAGATAGGCTAAGGCATGACAAAAACTACTGGATAGCTTTTTTTGGCAAAATATCCTTTTATTTCAAAGAAATAGGCAATTACCAAATTCTGTTAAAATCGTCATTTTGACGCACCATTTTATTAAGCAAGTTTGAGAGCCTCACATGCAAAACCACATCATTATTCTGTCTTTAAAACACTCAAATAATTTTGTGCAATGTTTAAATGTGTACTGGGTTGATTTTAGGGAATGTTGCGTTGTCTTTTTGGGTGCAAATAATTAAATTTCAAAGACATATATTTCATTCACTTAAAAGTACNTCATGAACTTGATCCTTAGTTGGATTTCAAAACGGAGTTATAGGCTTCCCCTACCTTGTCACCTTGAAAGAAAATTTCCCGGGAGACCACGTTCCATGCAACGTAAATCACATCTTTGATTGCCGTGTTGCCAGCATGGTTGTCCTGATGGTGTAGTGGATATCACACCTGACTAGTATGCGGGGGGACGTGGGTTCAAATCCCACTTAGGGCGAATTTTCTTTCAAACATTTATTCACTTTAAAATATGATTATTTGGGGTGCACAAGGTCAGGGGTTCTTTCATATACAGTATATATACATATATATATATATATAGCTACTTTCATTTTTGCAACAGTAAGAAATTAGTTCAAAACGGGAAGAATGGACTAATTTTAAAGTTGAATTATTTTTTATTTATATTTTAGAAGAAAAAGAAGCCTAAGAAATTGGATCCTGAGTTACCATCTGTGAAAGAGGAAGTTAGTGGAGAAATAACTCAGAGAAAACCAAAAACAGAAATAAGGAAACCCAAGAAAAGCAAGAAAGTTGAAGAGGTGGATCCTATTGTATTGAGGAAAAGAATGCGTCAGTTGTACAAGGCTGTGGTGAACTATCAGGTGACAGTTGCAATGTTACTGTGCTTGTAGTGCTAGTGTGCTGCTTGTGAATTCAGAGGCAATTAATGGAACTTCCCTGGTGTTCATTGATGATGCACATGCAGGATTATAACCAACCTTTTCATATAGGAGTCTCCCCCCGCGGGTTTCGAACATCAGCAGTCTAAGGCCATTTTACAGTCGCTTGCAGTGTGTCAAGGTAGTTTTTTTTTTGAGAGACTGAAGGTATAACAATTTTTTCATTGTAAGGAAAATACTTATGTTTCTTCCTTAGCGATTCGATTCAGGGAAAGTCCTCGTGGTTTTCCTTCACAAACCTACATGATTTGTGAGTTCAAAAGTAATCGATATAAATGAATGATTAAAGGCTCCAGACGATTTTTTTTTACACAAGCAACAGAAAGACAAATGCTTCCTTTCAGTAAATGGTTTCTTGACAGAAAAAGAAAAAACAATGAAGAAGAAAATGAAAAATAATCAGCAGTCAACAATGGGATTCGAACCCGTAGTGTCTCACATGGAGAGCCAGTGCTTATGACACTACACTACTTGCACATCAGTTACTGGAGGGTGAAAGTATATCTTTTATTTACGTGCCGCAGGCTCAATTGTTTTGCTCAGTCTATACCTCACTTTTGACCAAACAAAATGATCTTGTCATTTCTGACTACAGCACAAGGAAGACATGTACAGATACATGTAATGTAAAACGTGTAGGCAGGCCTGAGTAACAAACAGTTTCTCAACGCTGAACTTTTTCATTTTGCAAATATCACAACACACCCTTGAATGGAGAAAAGCGTTATGGGGTTGTTTGAAAGCTAAACTGCCCTCACATAACAAGTAGTTCCTTTATGAGCAATAATGCCTCATAACACCCTTTTCAAGTTGAGGCTTGTGTTAACATGTGGTGAAGTAAGCTCTTTTTAAGGCCAATATGTTAGGGAATAATTCCAATAATGTTTGTCTAAGAGGGAGTTACAGTAAGTTAACAGACAAGCTCCAAACCATGTGTGCCTTACAGTACTGTTAGTAACTTTGTGTCTCCTTTAAGGCAGTTAAAGTTCGGGCTTACATGTAATGATCTTTGCATTTTTGTATCATTAGGATGAGAATGGAAGATACCTTTCAGCAATATTTGTGGAACTCCCTTCAGCACAGGTTTGATTCTTGTCATAATGTGTTTCTGCAGCATTGTGCAATTGTACCGGTATAAAAAGCGAAATTTAGGTTGAAACTATTTTAGGTAACGTGAAATATTTTATATTTGTATCTATTTGGAGTTCTACTTTAGCTTATAAAACTTCTTCATTTATGCCCAAATAAGCACAATAATATGCATGTACTTGCCAACTCTCACACCTTAAACTTAGTCTCCTGTCTGCAAGCTAAAAACACAACTTAAGATAGACAATTCCCCTCCTGGCTGAAAAGTATGAGCTATTACTGCCTTAACTTACATACTTTCAAAAGACAATAATTATTATGTAAACTCATGCCACTGTAAGAAAAGAAATTCTGTGTGAGCAATAATACTTCTCCCAGTTCTCCAATTTTGGAAGAGAGAAGTACTGATAAGTATGTTTAGCACAACACATCCTAAAACTTAGATTGGAAATGTTGAGAACATCTTCCGATAACATTTTGTCGTCTTTAAAAACTCCGGGCACTTCCAGTCTAAAAATCTCATGCCTTTGACTCAGAAAAAGTTGGCAGATACAAAATTATGGTCAGTGATTAAACACAATAAGCTGCATTTATTTCAGTAGAATTGAGTGTCATTGTCAGGTGTTTGATAAGTTACATGTGCATGTCCATATCATTAATCTAGGATTATCCAGATTACTATCAGGTGATATCTGAGCCAGTCTGTTTGAGCCAGATTGAAAACAACATCAGGGATAGCAAAGTAAGTATTCATTTTTTGAAAACAGTTATAGGTTTACATGATTGTTCTACTAAATTGACTTCAGTGGTAAAATGTAGGCCATGCAAGGAGCTATTTCAAAAAGACGTGGTGTTTTATTACTGAAATGATTAGAAACCTGGGTTTAAGAATACATTGTATGCTGCAGGAGAAGACAAGGGTGATTATTCATTATTAAGACATTCTTGTGTAACCACTCTTTGCATTTTGTAATGTAAGATTCCTGCGGTAGATAGGTAGGTATATATATATATTCTTTTTTTGAGTAGAATGTATTTCGTAGAGCGCTCAACTCAATTGATTGAGGAACATCAACTATAACTTCAGAGAAGTTCAGGTCTCACGAGTAATCATCATTTTATTGCAATAAAACCTCAAAGACCCTCAAAGACAATGACATCAAACACTTTATTTCCTGGCGCATTCTCTCCTCACACTCGCCGTATAACAGCTCAAGCAAAAGATGTAACCTTTGCCTTAAAGAAAAATTCCTTATCATCTGCCAACCCAAGCTATCAACACTTAACAAACGTAATGAACTTGTATCATCTTGCCGCCACAGAAAGAAAGCCCTTCTACGAAACAACTAACCCATTAAATTTCGCGCTGCATATACTATGTAAATTATATTGTATATAAATGGTGGTAAAGATTATTCTTATTAAATCCCCTGATGAGTGGGCAACCACGAAACAGGCTTGTAGGGATCAACTTGTAGTTTATTTGTGTTTTTCCTCCCACATTGTATACTTCGCTCTACTCTGATGTATTGAGCACTGTTCTACGAAAATCAAATTTTACACTTTATATATATATATATGTATGTATGTATATATGGTTCAGAAAACTTGTGGATTAATCAATTTTGGCAACGAAAGACAGGTATAAAACCGACAATGAATTGATGACCGTGTAATGTTTTAAACGAGGTTGAGAATCACACAAGACGACACAAAGTCTGCACACCAGCCATGTTGGAATCACATCTGTCAATTACTTTATTCTCAGCATGCTCAGCTATATGACACAAGGCGTGTCACGTCACTGTGTAACACTAAACACTACATTTCTCCTTTCCTACAGTTGAGGAGAATCGCACAATCAAAGGAACAAATATTGTGAAACAAGTAACAGTAACAACAGATACTAAGCGACAGAACTAGACTAGGCAAAATAAACTTTGAACACGGTGACACATAGTCCTGCGCAAAGTCCTTAACCACTGAATGCTCAACTACGAAATGTTCTCACAGACTCAAAGTTCATAATTCTCAAACAATGTCCATAAATCAATACTTGAGTCACTTTGAAATCAGTCATAAAGAATGTTCATCAAATAAATGTTCAAAATCACTTTAAATCAGTGAATCATCACTAGTCAGATCTCTTGGATAAGTCTCTTTGGAGGCACAGATACACATGCAGACCTTCAGTGCACAAGTTCAGTTAGGATCTCAACATTTCTATGGGGGTCCACTGGTCAGTCTGGGGACTCCTAGACTGAGACTGGAATACCAGGAGGAGGGCTGCTATCAGTTTCCAGGTCAACTGCCTCTCCCTCATGTGACTGAATGGTTCTGAATGTGGTTGAGTCATCAGCCAGAAGCTTTTTGAAGTGAGATGAATTACATGATGAATTACCTTTTGGTCAGTGATTTCTGCTGTTAGCATGCTGTGATGCTTGTTAGTGACAGTCAATGGGGTCGGGTGATATGGCGTTGATAGCTTTTCTCGCTTTGGTTGTCTGACTCGTTCTGTGTCTCCAACCTGAATGTGACAATCTTTGACTGCTCTCCTAGTCTTAGCTTGGCTCTTGATCCTGAGTTTCTGCTTAGCATCTCTTTTGCGCGTGGGACTTTCACCACTTGGCATAACTACAGGGTTGGGTAACTTGACTCTAATTGGCCTCCCAAACAGGGCTATAGGAGGGGCAACACCCGTAGTACAATGGGTAGTGGCACGATAGTTATGTAGGAACTGATACATTTCTTGCTTTCCAGTGAGTAGTGATGCATAGCACCTTTCCAAAGGTTTTCATAAAGTATTCTACTTCTCCATTGGCTACGGGCCATAGAAGAGACATCTTTCGGTGCTTGAAGCCAAGATATTTAGCAAATTGTGCGAATTAGCCACCATTAGGGAGGGGGGCATTTTCAGACTTTACCACCTGGGGTACGCCATAGGAAGCAAATATGCAGTCGAGCTTAGGAATCACCGCTTTGGCAGAAGTAGAGTGGACGATCTCAATCTCAGGAAATCTTGAGTAATCATCAATTACAACAAGGACATAGTGTCCAGCAACTTCACAACTTCACAACTTCCCATGGACCATTGGGCAAAGGAGTCATCTGCAGAGGCTCACGGGAAGGCTTGAGAGGCAACTTGACAGGGAATACAACGTTTCACTATAGAATCAATTAGGCTGTCCATTCTTGGAAACCAGACCTTTGAGCGCAACAGGCTACAAGTCTTAGCTAGCTCTTGATGGTCTTCATGAGCCAATTCGACCACTCATTTCTGAAGTGCATCGGGCACTACTATGCGGCTTCCACGAAGCACGAGGTTACCATCCACTGAAGTCAGCTCACTATGGATGTTAGCAAATCTCTTGAGAGTGTTTGGATTGACTCCCTCTACTGGCTTCAGGTTATCCCACTGGCAAGTTGAGATGAGGCACATTACTTCTTGAAGAGTGGCATCTTTTTTGGTTGCTTTACTGATCTCTTCCCTGCTTAGAGCCATAAGTGTGACTTTGCATTACCATGGAGATGCCTTGAGATGTAGTCTGCTGGATTCAGGTCACCTCTTGAATACAACATGGCACCTTGAGTTAACTCAGATATACTGTTGCAGCAGGGATTCAACACAAGCTTCAAGATTCTTTCATTGACGAAATGGGATGCATCTGTGCAATTCATGAATAGGTCTCACATTGTCATCAATATGCAATTTGACCTCAACATTCTTCATCCTTCCAAGGCCACTGAAAAGACTTTGAATACATTCCTTTCCACAGACACAGCATTTGCAATTTGCAGTATTCCAAGGTCTGTAGCAGTTGTATATCCAAGAAGAGAGGTTTTGCCATCTGTCCCGAGAAATTCAGAGTCAACTGAACGAGACTTTGATTCCACTAAGGCCTTGAGTTTACCCAGCACAGGAAGGGGTTCAGATGCAGATGATCTAGGTAGATTGAGCAAACACCTGAAATGTAGTCCCAGGTTAGAATGTCTGCACCTTAAATGATCTCCTTCCTTCTTTTGCTTCATGTGGAGGAATCTACCAATATTGTGCTGTCTTCACAAACCATCCAGAAAATGCTTGACTAGATTCTGTTTGGTTGATTTCCTTTGCATTTTATGTTATAGTATTCTGGGGAAGATGAATTGATGCTTGACTTTGAAGTTATGTTTGACAATGCACGGTATTACAATGAGGAGGATTCTCAAGTGTATCAGGTACAGCTGTGTGTATAATTAGCACATAATCTTTTTACCACTGAAAACCATAATTCAAATTGCTGAAGATAGTCTAGCAGGAATCTAGATGGTAAAGTGAAGTGCTGGGCACTACCTTATAAGTACTGGGCGCTACCTCACCCTGAGAGTGGCTTTTTAAATCCTTGTCCGAACCTTCTTTGTTTTTTTGTTTTTTTTGGAAAAATTGAAGAAATAAACAGGGACTGTGAAGTTTGATTTTGAGGGTGCATAGGCTATTGACAAGGTGTTGTACAGGTTTTGTTATGGAAACAACTACTGCAGTTTATCAACTACATTGCAAAAGACTTCTTTAATGAAGGCAACTTAAAAATCATGGTCTAGATTTGTTAAAACTTGCTCTGTAAGTGCACTGATAATATAAAAGAGGGGCTGTATAATGAGTTGCACATTGACTACCTTGTAAGTTGTGAAATCAGATTGAAAACTCTGGTAGACTTTTTGAAGTTTCATCATCATGTCTTGGAAAATCACAAAAGGCTCATTAGAATTTGTATTCCCTTGAATAAGTCACTAAATATCATTGTTCATCTTGGGGCTGTATGTGCAGTTCATGCACAAGTGAAGGTGTCTAGTAATACTTTTAGCACTGCTTTGACCTCAAACATAGCAAAATTATTGCTGTGATAGTGTTCCTTTTGTTGTATTGAATAATCTGCTCGTAATCTTTTTAATTTTCCATGATCGTGTACATTGCAATACTGCTTTTAGGTTACTACAGACCGTAACAATTTGTGCCATTTGTCTGCGATGTTAAGTTTCCATTGTTACATGAACTCTTTACCTAGGATGCTTGTACTTTAGAGAAGGTGTTGAGAAAAAAGCGGAAATCACTTGGTCCATCCCAGCCAGGTATTTTATATTTTTAGTAAGGCAATTAAAACCATACTTATTTTTGCCGACCTCAAAAATAAGCTTTCCTTTCCCAAAAGTAGGCTCACCTCACGTTATCACTTGGGCTTTATTTTACTGTTAGGTTTAAAGGTCAGTAACATTTTTTTTACTATAAAGCCCTATTGTTAGTCAGAGGTTGTTCTGTATATGTTTATATTATTGCATTCGAGAGAATGTATTTCTAATCGGGAAAAAGTTGACATTTTGAGTATCTATCTAGAGATACCAATTTGGCACCCCCAAAAAATTTCTTCAGGGGCAAATGACTTCATCTCCACATTCATCCATGTGCTTTCTTTCAAGTCATAATTGTCCTAGTATTGGTAATAAAAGCATGTTGTCTCGCATGCTGATGGAACAGGCAATGTTTGTGTCGATTTACACAATCCAGAATGGTAACTAATATAATGTATTAAACACGTGTATATAAAATGAGAATAAGCTCTCTCATATGCACATGCTTTACGATGAATTCATTGTTTTTGCCCCTGCTGAAGGGAGGCCATAACAGCTCAGGCACAAAATGTTGTTCCTATAATGTTTGCTGTTTTAACATACCAAACCCACCGATACTCAAACTCACTCTTTAGTCTACAATTACTACTAGTATTTTTGTAGTTTATGTACTTACAGTATTTATGATTTTAACTTGATGACCACAGGACATCTTTTGTGTTTCAGATTGTTGTGTTTATAAAGAGGTTTAAAACTGCAATAAAAATTATTCTTGTGTGCCTAAAATGTTTCAGCTTTTGAGGTGCAAAATTCCCATCAATAATAATAATTTGAAAGAAAGTCCATGGAAACAAGCCCAACGTGTGTTGTTGCGTTATCTGTGGTGAGGGTTTATTGCCAAGTAACGCTTATCTTCATTCAGTTGCCATAGAAATATGTTTATCTTTTCAGCGGTTCCATCTCAGTCCGGTGAGTCTGGGATGTCCCAAGCAACAACCCTCAAGCAAGCTACACCTACCAAGTCTGGCAGAATTTCGTAAGTTAAGGAAGCCACTCTCCTTTGTCATCAGCTTACTGAGGCTAAGTACATGTACTACATGTAAAAACTCTAATGTGCAGTTTGTGATGTTGTACATGAGGTGCCATGATCAGTGGTTATGTTCTGTTCATACTTTCTTGATAGCCAATAGTACAGCAGTCATGCTAAAGCGGATTCAAATAGCTTATTATATATGTTTGACTGATTGATTTATCAGTCCCATGAGTTGAACCTTGGCAATAAATTTAGTTTGAAATTTTCTCTGTAGATCCTCACCTGGTTCAGCCAAGAAATACAGCCAAGTACCTTCAGCTACAAATGAATTGAAGGAGTTGTGCCGAGAGCTTTTTAATGCTGTCAAGGACTGTACTGTAAGAGATGCAATTTTTTCCCTGTTTCCATGAGTATAATACATTGTTTCCTCTGTCATTATGTCCTGGGCCACACAATGCAGGCATATTCTCATGGCAGAATAAGTATGAGAGGTTGATTTTCTCTACCGCAACCTGAACACAAACCAACTTTTGCTTTGTCATTTGGTCAATTGGTCAATTGGTCATTTGATTTGGTCAATCAAAATCGCCCTATGATGTATTGCAAACTCAGTATTGAATAAATCTACGTCATGTATGCCAGTGGATTGTGTCTCTATTAATACCTTTCTGACGAGAAGGCAAAATAACTATTTTTGACAACTATTTTTGGAAATGGAGTAATGATCCTGTTGATATTATATTTAACCATACAATACGAAGTTACATAATCATTCAGTTTATTTATGATTTTCAGTTTATTTATGGTTCAGTTTATTTATTATTTACAATGCCCTGCCAAGGAAAGCACATTTCATTTCCAAACTCTAACTCCCCAAATGCCTCTTTTATTTTTACTTGTTTCAATTTGCAGCTTGTATTTCATGATTTGTACAATGTATTTTGTTTTGTTCGCTGATTATCCAGGAGTTTCCCAGATACACAGCAAATCTCTCGGTCTCCCGTGTTACCAAATCTCCCAGATTCTAAGGAAAGCGCTTATTCTGGCTGCTTTTTGGCCTTTTTGAGGGCAAAATTTTGGAATATGTGATGCATTTTTGTCGCTGAATTGGAGGAGCTCTACTTTTAACAACGTTTTGTTTAGAGTCAAGAAGGTAAAAATTGGCGATCTCTCAGATTTAAATTTTTTTTAGGTTGGCTTCTCAGCTCTGGAATGGAAAAAGCAACAATATAATTTTCTTAAAGACAGCTGCAGCGCTTGCTAGCACACACCAATTATTTAATTTAATTTATTTTGTTCAAATTAGAACATAATTAATATATTTCTTCCTCAGTCATGAGCTTCGCTGAATGCTTGATTCCAAAAATTTAATTATATTCATGTCTCAAGGAAAATCTCAACAGAGAGAGGTTGCTCCAAAACCCCTCTCCTCCCAACCCCCCAGGATTTGCCATGGCAACTTTTATACTCAGGGCTCCTTAAAAATTTCCATAGGCAACAGCCTTGTGTAGACCTTCCAAGAACATTTAAGAGCCACTGCCTGTAAGTATGGAGAATCCAACGACCAGTCGGAAAATTCGGATTTTCTTTTGTTGCATCGAAAAGACCCTTTTGGTGAAGTATTTTCAGAAATACACTTTCAAAGTTCCAGCGACTTCACATTTTTGTGAAATCTAGGAAAGTTCGAAATACCG